CATTAATTCTTTGCATTGTGCTTCTCGGGACTAACTTAGTCTGAATTCTACATTCTCTACAATTATAATTTTGAAATTCAGCATCATAAGAGAACAGAGGAGCTGAATAACAGCAGTTATGAGGACTGCTCATAAAACCCCAAATAACCAATCTAATTTGGTCCACTTTGATTTCTTAATGTCACTTGAAATTTACTGCATTATTCGGGAATATTTACTGTAGTTCCTCTACGGTTTTCTGACGGGATAGAACGAGTCGGCAAGCTGTAACTAAATACCGCGCTCATCATTTGCGGGTAGCACAGCCAGGATGTGGCTAAACGTATGTTGGTTTGGGTTTCATGACTGGTTGCCATAAATGTTCTCCCACTCCCATCTTTTGAAAGAGGAGCCAGGAACAGCTCTTTATGAAAGATTCCCAAGATGGAGAGGGCATTACTGTTTGCCCATCTTGTTCAAATGTCAGAGATACAAGGATGCATTTTTAAACTTGCCATCTAACTGAGGAACCCACAAAGCCTGCTATTTGCTCACAGGGCTTGTGTTGACAAAAGAAAAGTGCAAAAGAAAGGAAGCGAGACAGCTCTCGTTGCCCTTTTACAAACAGTGCTACTTACACTGGAGTGATGTGCTAATGGAAAGTTGCAGGCTTTTCATTTACTGTGGTATCTCATGCGCCTATGAGGCGTATTAAATACATAAGAGGGCACAGAAGCAAAAGCAGGGGGTGCTGGTTTACACTGGCATTCTGCATTTCAGTTCTAGTTATTTGTTTGTTTAATTCTCCATCGGAGTCAGCGAGCCAACTGTGCTGCCCTGGCGTTGGTCTTATCCTTTCAGGATTAACCTTCCACGTCCGTGAAACAAAGTCTATAAATCTTTGTCTAACTGCATTTGTCCCATGAGGGCCAATCCAGATCCCTGCAAACCAATTACGAGATGACCTGTGATCATGTTCACTTCTGTTGTCCTCAAAACACTGATAGCAGGCAGGAAGTATCACGAGTCAATCAACGCTCCTGCCGGTTGACCCACTGGAGAGTGCAGAAAATGGCGTACCGTAGAGTCATTTTCTGCTGCACCTGTTGGAATTACAAAAATCCTCCAGTCCCCGCTCAATACAAAATAAAATAAGGAATAAAAGCAGACTGCTAGTCCCCATATCCCACATTTTCAGACCACATTGTGCGTATTTATCCGTTTTTCCAGATAATCTCAACAGTTGCTGAGAGAGAGGGAGCGCATGCGATAAAGCTGCCAAGCCATATTTTTCTCTGCTGCGTTTCACAGCTCCTGAGAGTTGTGACTGGGAAAAGATAACATATTGGCATTTTCGCAACAAGGCACATTTTTCATTAACTGTAACTGTGGTTACACGGTGCTGGGATGGCTTGAGAGGGAATATGTTTTAAATAAACAGGATGCAGAATTTTTTGGGGGGGGGGATTGAATCCAGGAGCCGGGTGTCAAGGTTGAAGCACCAATTGGAGAAGTGAGCATGTACAACTTTTGCGGAGCATTGCAGCATTGCGAAAGAAAAAAAACAGTTTTATGGTACTCCAGTTTCAGGGAAACCACAGTAGAGCTGGAAAATAGACTTCTCAGCTCTCAGAGTTGTTGTTGTTAGATTTGTATCCTGTCTTTTTTATATATAACTCAAGGTGGCAAACATACCTAATATTCCTGCCTCCTATTTTCCCCACAACAACCCTGTGAGGTAGGCTGGGCCAAGAGAGAGGGACTGGCTCAAAGTCACCCAGCTGCCTTTCATGCCTAAGGGAGGCCTAGAACTCACGGTCTCCTGGTTTCTAAGCCAGCACCTTCACCAGTACGCCAAACTGGCTTTTTGTACAAACAGTTGTATAAATTGTTTTTTGTTTTGTTTTTTGTTTTGTTTGTACAAAAGAGTTGTACAGACACCCAGACCAGAGCTGGCTCTGAAGCAAATCAAGGCTGTCAGATAGAGGTGCCTTTAGTTTTTCTGACAAGAAACCACACAGTGGTTCCTCAGAATTCGGATAATTTTTAGTAGTTTACTACTTCACAAAGACTGGCACATCTTAAATATATTCCGTTTCAGTGGCAATTCAGTGTTCAGCTGCTGCTAAGCAAATGTACTGAGCCTGTGGAAGTGAGGGAAAAACAAGGGACAAACCTGAACATATGACCTAAGGTCAGTCATGAATCCTAATTTACACTACACAGTCCTCATTTACTGACTGCCTCATTTAGTGATTGTTCACAGTTAAACTGGTGATGAAAAAATAACTTTGTGACCAATCCTCACGTTTACGACCTTTACAGGTCTGTAAAACAAAGGAAAGCTGAAGTAAGATCATAAGCACAGTTCCAATTTCACTTAGTGACTGCTTCACTTAAATACCAAATTATGGGTCCCAATTGTGGTTGCTAAACGAGGACTACCTATACATTTTAAGAGCCCTAGACAGATGTAGTTACCCTTGAGCAACCTGTCAGTGAGGAACACTATACACTTCTTACATGTGATCCATAACTTCCATTTAAGAGTTGGCCTTCGGTTTTGTCTGGTTTAATTTTTGTACTTTCTTGCTTTTCCCTGAATTTTGCAACATCTTGCTTTATGAAGAATTCTGGAGAATGGTACATTTATTAGCAGCTGGAAACCCTTAATAGACTTTTTGCTGAAAACAGAAAACAATGAATTGGTGATTTATGGATTTGATGATTAGAAAGGGTAAAATATGGGAAGAAGGGAATTACGATGTAACCTTAAAGAAGGAGGTCAGATGATAGATTTATTTATTACTGCTGTAAAGAAGATCGGAAGCTGCCTCTTTATACTTTTTCTTTGTTTCTTTTCTTTTTCTTTCTTGTTCCTTTCTTTATCTATTCACTATGTTCTTTACTCTTTTTTCTTTCTTAAATTTGTACTGCTTTTATTATTGTGCAAAATTCTTCAATAAAACTTAATTAAAAAAAAAAGAATGCCGGAGAATGCTCATACATCCCTTTGTGCATGCAGGTTGGTCCCAATAAAGGGAACACCACACTTTTGGCATAAGGAACTTAAAAGATCATCTCATCGCTTCTACATATATGTCTATGCGCACGCGCAGATGCTGCTATTATAATGGTACCCCTTGCTTAGAATCTGACTCCCCTGAATACATATGCAATGCCAATACTAAATTTGTATCAGGTATGGAATCTCCTGTTGAGGGCCCTGCTGTTAAGAAGTTTTCATTTTCAACATTAAGTACCCTAAACTCAAATCTTGGACTCACGCCTTCTACCTCATGGTTGCAGTTTGAATGAGTCATGTTGTCTTTTTATTATGTCCTTTATAATGTTCTCCCTCCTCCTGTCATCCTCTTCCTAGTTCTTCCAATCTTAAGAATGACCAGAAAGATCTTCACCAACAGCAGGGAGAGGTGGAGGCAACAGAATGTCAACAGTGCCTTTGCCAAGCTGAGAAAGCTGATTCCCACCCACCCTCCTGACAAAAAGTTGAGCAAGAATGAGACTCTTCGCTTAGCCATGAGGTACATCAACTTCCTTGTCAAGGTCCTTGGGGAGCAAGGGCTGCAGCAGACAGGCATGAATCCCCGAGACAGGATACTGGGCCTGTTCCAGCAGAATCCACATTTGGAACGCATGGAAGAACTGACTCTCCTTGAAGACTCTGAGGTCCCTTCTCCCAACACAAGCAACAACATCCCAGAATGCTGGTCAGAGACATCATCTCCATAATCAGGCAGTCAGGGTAATCACCCTGACTGCAATCTGATAGTTCCCCTTGATATTGGTTGTGCTAGTTGGTTGCTTCTATACCGTATTTATTTATTTATTTGGTCTGTCTTGGTCTTTTTAAACTCAATTGTATTTTATGTAACTATTTCCTAGGAAGAAGGTGGCTTTCAATAGTTAAAAAGAATTCCAGCGGCCTAGCCTGCTAAAAAGGGCTTTGATTTTGAGTGCAAGGGACTTTGACCTGGACCAGAGAAAGTCACCAATGGACTCCTTGCCCTTTATTGTGGCACACTAGTGAAAATTGCCAGGGCCGGTAGCTTGTGGCTGAGTGTAAGTTTTAGAACAGCTGGCTAGGAATTCTGGGAACTTCACTTCCAGCTGATTTGGCTGCTGGATTGACAAAGATTAATTCAAGATCTAAGTCAAACAAGTTCTGCAGCTGTGCCTCTCCTGTGGTAGATCCTCCCCTACTTCCTCTAACATATGACAGTGAACAACTTATGTTGTTTCTCCCCCACCTTCTTTCTTAAGGGGAGAAACCACATAAATTGAGCGGCCTCATCTAAAACTCGCATGGGAACTCCTCATGGTGCCCATTTCAAGGGGTATGTAGCAGAAGGAAATATTACCAGTCTACTCTAAATTGGGTATTATAAGAAAAAAAATAGCTAATTTGTCTTTGCTTTAAATTGTTTTAAAAGCCAGGGCTAGCTTTATCCTTATGTACAGTAGATTCCACAGAGGAGACCATTTTCCTGCCTTCGAACTGGTCCTGCGGATAGCATCTGCAAAAAAGAATTGCTCTGGAGCCAAGGCTACTCATTTTTAAAAACCTTTTTGTTTAAGATACATAAATATCAAAGTTAGTGGAGCACTGCTAAGTGTCCTTCTCTTCTTTGCCCGCAATGCCCAGTTCAGTGCAATCTTCATGCTAAGATATGTGCATCTTACTTACTATTTTTCCTCCAGTATATCTCAGAACCTGAGCTAGATAAAAATCTAACCAAGCCAAAATGCAGAGTGAATACATGTAAGTGGGTGGGAATGGATCGTGCCCACTATGTCTGCTCAAATATAACCAATCATGGATTTTTTTAGTTGCTTTCTGAAATATTCAAACATGCCTATCTTAAAAATTGTGGATTTAAATATGATTATTTCAACTGGATTTCTACGTGTAAGGAAAAAAACTCTTACATTTGGCTTTAATTAGACTGTTCACAACATTTGCACAGATCAAAATAACTAAATCATTTCTAAAACAAAAGCACAGTTTAATAGAAAAACAACTGTTTCATTACTTAGCGGTATTTTATAAGTCATAGGTGCCATTTAATTGTCTATAAAATGAGAACAGGATCACATGTACCACTTTATTCTTGATACCAATGTTTATCGAAAACACTGTTTTCCAAAAACTTGTTATCCGGAGCAACTTTTTATATGAAATAAAAAGGCAAGTGCAGTTCCATCTCCAAGTAGATGTCACCGTAATTGCTGAATTGGTACTTTGTTAAGCAGTTGGTCTGCAGAACCTGAGAGGATGAGACGTTTGTTTGGGCCAGACGAGAACTCAGTTTCTGGTTGGTAGGTTTACTTTGGAGGTGATTAAGTACACTCCAATTCAAACTGGAAATGAAGCAGGGATAGTTGAGTGCGCTCCTTTCTTTCCCCAAATGTAATTTCAACTTCACTCCTATGTCCATTAAAAAAAAAAAAAAGATTAAAATTCAGGAGGAGTCTGGCAGCACCTTTTCTGACTAACACATTTTATTAAAAGGCATAAGCTAATATTTCTGGCTGCCATAGACTGACGGTTCTCCTCCTACAATGTTTTTAAGAATATGGGTTTCCTATTGATGGGGGGTCCCACTGCCCTTAACCTTCTGCACAAACTGTCCCATAAGTGGGTGTCCTTCAGACCCTTTATTCTCATCACTGGAGGCAGCCACTCCCGAGTTTCTAATTTTTTTTAATGACTTCATGTTTAAGAGCCACAAGTCCCCTTGAGTTACAAACCACTATTTGAACTCTAAAATAGCCACCAATATTATCTTCTCGGTTAAACAAAACTTTTAAATGGGGGCAGAAACTCTGTGGCCTGTGTGTTTCTAGCAATGCAGGTTTTTATTTTATCATTTCCAATTTCTTTCACTGGCTACTACAACTCTGAGATTATTGCCAAGGTCAAGGGCCTCTCCCTTCTATGGATACCTCATAAAAACTATAGAGTTGAGAGGCAGAGATGTGGAGCTCAATGCTTCTAGAGGGCAGCAGATTGGGTAAATTGCTTATAAAGTACTTTGCCCCCCTACAAAGTAGTCTATAATCTCTTGATAATAAACATTCTGCTCCTTGGCATGTTTCTTTCATCTGTCTGTCAAGATTTTATTTTTTCATTGGCCCACTTGCTTTATGAATATTTGCAGATATTAAAAGCTTCTTGGATTCAAATGCATATGTCTCAATAAAGTCATGCATATTGAACTGTACATTGTATTAACTGGTAGCATGCCAGTAAATGAATTAACGAATTAAACTGCAGCTAATTAAAAAATCACTCCTAATACATTTTAGAACATATATTCTCAGTCGTAATCTTCTTCAATCCCCCTATATTAGTTTTATTAAAGAATATGCTTTGGGGGGTGGGAAGTAACAGGCATGGTAAGGTTTAGCCTAGGACTAAATTTATAGAGGTAACAACATCTTTTTTATACTAATTCAGACTGTTCTACCTCACCAGTACTGTTGTTACTGCATTCCAGCTGAGCCAAATGAGAGAGTTTAATTTAGTTTATTAAAATACAGTCATAGACCAAACATACAGAAATGAACAAATATATTACTCTGCATCCAGTTAATAAAGAAAAAAGAACGATTCATACCTGCACAAGATACACCTAGAAAAACAAGCAAATGCAAAAACTTCTGACTGACATAGCAATGTTACAAAATTTGGCTCCAGTTGTGGAGACTTCCCAATCCTGATTGTTAGTAGGTAGTGCAAGACTGCCATATGAAAGCAGTCTGAATAGTCTGTAATTAGAGTGGAGATTAACTCTGCCCTCCAAAAGTGATAGGGCATTTCAGAAGCTGGGATTAGAGCCATTAGACTGACATGAGACAGGTTAGTTTTACCCTACTGATGGTGTGTTGTTGGTCTAGTAGTCCTGCTTAGCGTGAGAGGACCCATGGGTTCAGACCTTTGGTGTATGTGCTTGGCTGAGGCAATGGGGCGAAACCACCATCTGTAAGATTATGGCTGAACGCCAAATGAGAGATACAGTCCCTGATGCTGGGGGATCACCAAGTTGTGAAGGCTCTTCTAAAATATATTATAGGGCTACTGTGAAGGAAATAAAGAGCTTGTGCTAATTATACTATCTGCTCTTTTCCAACTCCAACGTTTTTAAAAGGACGATTTTACATTATTTCAAGATGGGGCAAACATTATAAGAGTAATAGCAAGATAGAGGTAGGAGTAGTAGCAAGAAGTAATAGAAGTTTTTTTGTAACTCCTATGGCTCTCAACAGTTAGCATGCTTCACAGGTAATGACAACACAGCGGAAGACTAATGGAGCTTGAACATCCAAAGAGGCCTGCAATCATGCAACTTTTACAGATGTTTAGCTTTAGGATATGGTGTGAACAAAGTCATTGTGTGTTTTCTAAATCCTAGCTTACGACTTAGCATTGTGGGCAAAGGAAATAATGATGCCTTCTTCAGCACACTTTGGTTAAGAAAAAACATGGCTTAAGACGGTATGTGAACTCAGCCACGCAAATGTCCTTCTTTAAGTTATTGTTAACTTTGGGAGAGAAAAGATTTAAACCAGGGGAGTGGGGTATAGTGAAAGACTGGGAGTGGCTTAAGAAACACCCCCTTTGAGGTTTTCTGGGATTCTGGTCTGGCCTCAAAAAGAAGCAGGTTTATTAGGGCTCTGGTGTCAGATTCCTTTCCCAAGTTTAGAACCTTTAGCTACAGTATTATCACTATTGTGAGGATCCTAAAACATTGTTCCAGGGGCCCAAGGTCTCTATCCTAAGACAGCAGCAGCCTAGTGCAGAAAGATTTATTTCAAAGTAAATCATGCTGAATTAGATGCTAGCAATGTTGCATTTGAAGTAAAGAAGTAATCCTGAGAATTGAATTGCGACTACAGAAGTTATTACAATGACTGTATTTAAAAAAGAACAAAGAAGGGAAATCTTACAGAACAGCATGACTGGGAAGGAAGAGCGAAGGCCAAGGGGGGCTTCGAATGGAGCCATTGGCAACCTACCGAGCCCACCTCTGTCTTCCATCAAGATGCACTGAGAGCTTTGTCCCAGATTTTCTCTCTGGAGCGGATCCCGCCCATTTTGGAAGTCAGTCTTTCTTTTCCAGCTTCTCCCCCCATGGAAAATATAACCATGTTTTGTTCAGTTTTCAGAGAGTTATCTTGCTGATGGACAGAACAGAATCCCAAGCCCCTTCATATATTTTTCCAGGATTCTGTTGGGTTGGAAAGAATTAAAAAGAAGATGATGATGATGATGATGATGATGATGATGATGATGGTCTGAATACACTATAGCCACATCTTTAGACTGTTAAGCCTGAGGACTCGATGTGTGAAAACATAACAATGATTCATGAGATTCTAGTACTTTTAGCGACAACATAAAATGCAAAGAATGTATGAAGAAATTCTAAAACTGCTGTTAGATCTATATGTGGTACAACGTACTGGTTAAATATTTTCAATTAAGTCCCAAACTATCCATGTTTGTGCTGGCATTGTCCATTTTAACTATTATTTCTGTGATTAAAACTTTTTCCAAATACACTAAACAAACGAAAAAGTATTGTTCTGATGCAAAAGCAAAAGGGAAGTAAGTATTTCATGTGATGGTGATAAAAGTAGATGTGGTAGTATTTCTTAAGTATCCTGTCTTATTACTGTATATCTTCTTGCTATTAATATGCAACTTGTGTTTTTAACTAAACGTATCTACCAAAGATTTGCTTTGTTGGCACTTTTTATGTCTTGTGAGTCCCCCTTTGTTTGGCCAAGAATCTCTTATATGCTTTCCTGTACGTTTCCCTATTTAATGACTAATATATTAAAAAAAGATTTGCAAAATCAGTCTTTTTTTATATTAAAAATACGTCTTAACTGTCATTTTGTTAACAACAGTTGAACTGGTTTTCCAATTTCTCCCAGCTATTGGGAACAACAGGAGCAACTGAATATTAAGTTTCTTTGCAAAGAAACAGACGCTGGAGGCTATTATAATTTTGCAATAATATTTTTTATAAATATACAGGTTAAGTGGATGATAAGCAACCAAGAAGACAGCATTAATTTGAAAGCAGTATTGGTTCTATACTTAGTTTCCTAGGAATTACTTTTATCAGGCAGAAACCAATTATCTACACATTTCACATTTCTCCATTTCGGACAACAAAAACAGATTCTTTCTCTCTTTGCTAAGCAGTCAAATACGAACACAATAAAGTAGGCTAGATTAGTCATCAGCTTCCAGAAATATAAATGCTGTAGTCCATGACTAGGTGAGATTTAGGGAGGGCTAATTTGTATATTAAAAATGTTTATTAAATACTTTGAATACTTTATACTTAAATTACATTGAAAGTAACCATGCACTCATCTTTATGACCATCCGTAACTAGAAATACATTTTAAGTACAGCGACCATATTTTCTTGGAAAAAATAAAGGACAAACCTGAAAAAGGGGCAAATATGAAAGAGGTTCATAAGGATTAAAAATGTTAATTGTTTATAACTTTGCTTTACAAAGGAAAACTCAAGAGCAAAACCAAGAAAAAATGCATATTCTAGTAAAAATATCTAAAGTCAAACAGTATATGTAACATTATTTTAAAAAGACAATTTAATTTCCATATTTTTCACATGAATGTGAAAGACTGTGCATGAAGTGGTACCCTTTGTACGGTAAAAGTTAAATGACCCAAATAAAGGACAATAGTGAGTTTCTGAAAAATAAATAAATCTAAAGGACAGCTTTAGACAGCTCCTCGGAGGGCGGAACGGATTAACCGTATTTACATTGAACCTTATGGGAAAATTTACCTCAACTTGAGACCAACTCGAGTTGCAACCAGAGTCACGGAACGGATTAAGTTCATAACTAGAGGTACCACTGTACCATTCGTTGAGCGCCATCGTAACTTTGAACAGTTGCTGAACAAATGGTTGTAACCCAAGGCCTACCTGTAAAGGACTGTCCTTTATAATAATAAAGGACATATGGTCATTGTAACTATAAGCAAACTGGGAAGAGATGAATAAACTAGTAAGTTATAGGATCTTTATGGGATTTTTCAATCACTAGTGCTGGATGAATCCTCTTTTTTCCGCTTTACATTACTCTTTTACTTTGAAAATTGGACGTTTATTGCCCATAAGAAAAGGGAATCCATGACAGGGCAAAGAATTTTTTAGACCACTTAAGTAGTAAGTAGCAAGCTTTTGAATTCTCCAGGTCTCTTCACCAGGCAAAATGTTTCAAAAAGCAGAAAGAGAGCAGGAATTGAAAGGCTCATTTGGTATTAAAAGGATGAAGCCTGCATGAGATCAGAATCTTAAAATGGAACATAAATGGGACCACATAGCCACTCAAATGCAACTCTGCCTTGGGGTTGAAGGTTGCACCCCAAATTCTC